GTGTATGCCTCATCATAATTTATTTAAGACATAATTTCTGCATATTGTGTACGAGCCGGTGACGATCATGATCATGAGAACTGTAACACATCCTGAGGATCATATAGCACTCCAACAACCGATCGNACCGCATGCCACTGATGAAAGGGATTTGGGAGTTATGGTACAGGAGGACGCAGGATGTTCCACGCACTGTGCCAGAGCATCATCTATGGCTCTAAAGCAAGTGGGACTACTCAGACGTGTCTTCGGGCAGTTCGAAAGAGCACTGTTCTTACGCTTGTTATCAGCGTTCGTGCGGCCACACACGGAGTACGCCGTTCAAGTATGGAATCCATGGTTAAACCGCGACAGGAAGGCTCTAGAACGTCCGCAGAGGCTGACAACGAAATTGGTAAAAGGTCTATATAAGAAGACATACTCCGAAAGACTGCAAATATTGGGACTCTACTCATCCCAATACCGCCGACATCGAGGGGACCTAAAATTGACATATCACTACTACATCAACTCAACCACCCTTGTCGTTCTCTGCTGGCTTTATCTCATAATGATCACCTCAGGCGACATTCACTAAAGGTGAAGACCCAGAACAGCCGCATTGATTGCCGGTATCACTCGTTTGCAGTCAGAGTGTGCGGCGCATGGAATTCTCTCCCATCTGATGTAGTGCGTGCTCCTACAGTTGAACTATTTAAATCGCAACTTGATAAAGCATTGGAACACTTAAAATTTCAACATCCGTGACTGATCACGCACATTATTACCATCGATTTTTTTATTTTTGTGAAGTTATTCAAAACATTCTGTAAAAATCCTATGGGGCATGATAAGCTTCAGCTTTGTTAAAACGCCCATAATAAAACTTTGACTTTGATTAAACTTGCTAATATGGTGATGATTACTGTGGAAATGTGTAAAATTCTCATAGATAAACGCATCACATGAAGGGGGGCTAGCAATAAATATATGATTGACAGTGACAAGATATAAACTATTGTGTGTCGATGAAAGACGGAGAAAACAATGAACAGCATCTAGAAGTTCTGGTCCTCAGAGAAATTAGAGACCAAGTCAATCGAAAATAACAGGAATGAATGAATTCCGGGAAACTACCCACATCATCCGAATACACTGTGATGTCTTCTTTTTGTAAATGCTACAGCCACTGAAAAAAAATTTCCTGTATTTATGAAAACAATTCTCACACTCCGAACGAGCAGCTAAAATTGGGAGATTTTCCAGTCAACCACAAGTGGAAAACACGGTAGCTTAAGTGAGTCACCTCATCACACGGTTAGGCGCATTCGTTCCACGGGGATGAATTTCATGTAGCTGCACAGCTCGCCCTTACAGTATAGTAGGTATGATTGTAAAGGATGCTGAGTGATAGGCACGAGTATTCCAGCGATCAACTAGGGTGAGGAATGCTGTCGACAACAAGTCTGTTGTACGGAACAAATTAGACACTGGTAGTAAAATGTTTGCTTTCAATGCGAAAAGGCATACATTCAAGCTGCTCAGGAATATTTCTATTCTCCAAAAGCTAGTGTGTAAATATAATCCACTGGGGGTATAAGGCCAGAAATCGGAATGCCTACTTTTCAGTTTGGGAGCGTATTCAAGTAATACAAGCCGGAAGGCTTTTCCAATCTGGACTTCACATGTCCTTGTCACAAAATCAATATCAATAAATATCGCCATTAGAATTAAATACAACTCCATTGGAGTAAATACCATCAACTGAAAGCTTGACATTCAGAAAGTATCTTATTCTGTAGCTCAATACAAAGTTGAGCTTCCCGTCGCAATCCATTGAGTTCAAACAGGGAAGAAAAATAATGGAAGTGGTTAACATTTCTTTTAACCTCCTCGTTCGTTACAAAATAAATCAATCTGGTATTCATACACGTTTTGGTGACTACAGTGATACAACGGACAATAGTCAGGGGAATGAAGGGGGATCAGTTCCCGGAAGTCTGACTGATTGCGCACCAGATTGGGCGAAGTAAGAACATTGACATTGCCTCGCTAAACGGTAACATCTTGCAGTATTTCCCTCTCTGTTCTAACGAATGGGGCGAATGGGATCAAATATTTCAAACAGATTGAGTAGTAAGTCAAGAAGTGCAAGTCTGGATTAAAATTCATATTTCTAATGAAAGTTGGATATTGGGATGCAACGAGTTCAACTTGTGAAGTGATGTCCTAAAATCTGCCTAATTGCGCGTAATAATGTATCATCAACATATGAGAAGCCTCTTGGGGTCCATTCCGGCTGATAACAGCTTGCTAACATTAGAATACAAACTGGAAGAGGAACTGAATTCGACTTTATTATATCAACTGGGGCGGTGGTGGCCAAGTAGTTAGGTCACCAGATTGTGTCTGGGGTTCGAACCGCTCCACCGCCGCCCGTCTTCTCTATTTCTGTATTTCCCCAGACAACCTTTTTATGGCCGCAGCCCTTTTCCTGAAAGTTAACTGTACATTTTTATATTCAAAAAATAAAAAGGAGGTAAGAAGACATTTATTATTAAAGAAATTTAATAATTTGTGTTCATGATACATTAATTATTGCGCTCAACGAAACAGCTGTTAGGACAAATTTTAGTTTTATTGGCATGGACGAAAGTGTAACGTCCAGGACCATGTCTTTCCAGGAAAGTATCATAGAAAATATGATGCAGTACTGGTTGGAACTTCATACTTTCACTTGTTCCACAATGAATGTTTTACCGTACAGGGAAGAATACTGTGAAATGAGGTATTCTCTCACTGCTCTATACTACTGTACGAAGTTTCCCAAGTAAACAAGGT